TGGGATGTAGGTTTCTTTGTCCTCCAGTAATTCTTTGGCTTTTTGTATGTATTGTATTCTGTCCATAATAACCATGGTTCAGCCTTTGTCTGCTGGGAGGATGGTGATGGCTTGGTCCTTCTTTAGCTTTTTGAGGGCTGCTCTGTCCTCTGCTTTGAGTTGGTTCTGCTTCTGCGTTCTTCTGGTCTGTGATATGATTGTCTGCTTTATGTTTTCTTGGGTCCCTGTGGTAAGCCCTGTGGGGTGTCCCCTCTGTTTGCATCTCATCCAGGGCCCCTGTTCATGTCCTGTCCAGGGCCTATGTTCGCGTGCCAGCCATGGCCTCCATTCATGCCCCACCCAGGGTCTTCTTTCTCAAAAGAAGCCCAGCATGTGAAAGAAGGCCCCGGCTGTGCAGGCACGAAAGAACGGGCCATGGACAGGGTGTGAATGGAGGCCCTGGGTGGGGTGCAAGAAAAGCCCTGGCTTCACCAGCATGAAAGAAGGCAGCGTGAAAGAAGGCCCCAGCTGGATAGTAGTGGTGCATGGTGCAGTGGACGCAGGGGCAGGGGGCAGGGCTGGGCAGTGTGGGCAGCTGGCGGAAGTGGGTAGGCAGGTGGCCAAAAGGCGATGGTAAATGCAAGTGGGCCTGAGTGGGCCCGAATTGTTCACATGACTGTGGAGGTGCTGCAATGGCCAGAACTTCGAGGACTGGTTGTAAGTCCCTTCATTCAGCATCATTGTAACTTTGAATGGTCACTGAATGAATGGACGTTAAACGAGGACTACCTGTACTATGTTCCTCTTTTTTTCGGGGTTTGTTACTTAGGATGAAATCAGTTTTCCTCACTACTATTTATTAGAATAGGTTAATTAAAAAAAAAAAACACATTCAGAACTTGATCAAATTTTGTGAGAAAGAAGATATATGACAACTGTATGTTACTTCCTTCTGTTTTCCTCTTTACCATGTTTTCAGCATTATCTGTGACAAAGCTGCACATGTGACACTTCAGTTTTTGTTCACAGTTTAGCACAGATTTCTCTGCCCTTTTGAAATATCCTACTGCATGGACATTTTGAATGTATGCATTTTCTGAAAGACATGCCATTCCAGATCTATAGTACAGTATATACTGTATGAGAATAGAATTAGAATTAGAGTTAGAGTTAAAATTAGAATTAGAATAGAATGCCAGTTTGATGTAGTAGTTACAGTTGTTGAGGGGAAAATAGGAGGCTAGAGTATTAGATAAATTTGCTACCTTGAATTGACCAAAATATATAAAGACAGGATAAAAATATCATCATCATCATCATCATCATCATCATCATCATCATCATCACCATCCCCCTGTCAAGGCTTAAGTTGTTAAATTTCTTCTAAGAAATTCTTGTACATTGTCAAATTATTTTTTACATATCCTGTACTGTACCTAGGAAATTTCCACTAATGTCTGCTTTACATGAGGGTTCAGCAGAGAATAAGGATTCAACTTTTGTTGTAAAAGTGAAAGGGGATATATAATTCATCCATGGTGATGTTCTTATTGTGTTTGATTGCTCTTATTACTTTGTCTACTGGAATATATTAGTTGAGGTGTTGGTCCTAAAAGCACAGCTCTGACTCTTGTTGCAAAGAGACAGACAGGCTTTTTAGGCTAATACAGATCTTGGAAAAAATAAGTAATCAATCAGTTGTTCTCAATTTTTTCCACACTGCTCTTCAACAAATCATTTCCTTTTTTAAAAAAATAATGTAGATCCAATTCCAGTTTACCAAAATAGCCAGATTTCTTTCACTGCCTTCAAACATAGCATCTTGTTTGTGACTTTTGCCCATCACTCACTAGGGATCAAGGTAAAACATTTTAATGAAATTATAATGGAATATTTTATATTCAGATTTAATTTTAATTAAATTTAATTAAAATAATTTTAATTGTATTTTAAAGAAAAGAGAATTTTAGTATTTATAGATTTTGAAAACTAGATTTGATTATTTTTTAAAAAAATCATTTTAAAAATTCTCATTCACTCATCACTCTGAAGATGCATCCTGCTACACAACACTGAAACAATATCATTTATTTCTAGAAAGAGTTCTTCCTCCACAACATTCTCTTCGATATTGACCGACTGATTCATATTTACAGTACAGTTCATCCCAATATACAGTACTTGTCAGTGTAGCGAACAGCTCCTTATAGCAGTGCATTTGAAAACATCTTTATGTACTTAGATCATTTGTTACCATTCTATAGGTTAGACCATTAAAAAAAACTGTTGTTTTCTCACTGAGGTGTTAAGGTTGTTTTAATTTTTTTCTGGACATTTTCATATGAAACATTGAATTATTTTTTTCCTGTTAGTCTGTGACGAAGTCAATCTGATTTGTATTTTACATATTTGAATTAGTAGTTTTAACATCCTTATACATAATGCTAGTGTTATACAAATATCAGCTACTTGTTATTTGTAATCTTTATCCTAGATCTCTGGAAGAATATTTATAATAAAATTGCTGTTCTCATAATACATCATACATAGTTTGGCTGCTATCTTAATATGACAATCAGCATTGCCTTGCAGAAATACATGACATTTGTTTTTTATTTGTCCATTTAAACTAAGCAGTACATTCTTGAGGAAAAAAAGTATACTTAAAATGAATATATCATTAATACTGATATCAGTATAAGCAGTTTTTAACTCCCCATGGTTCTTGCTGTTAGAAGCAAACCTTCCTGTTTTTATCCTGAAAAACAACAAATTTGATACAAACTGAGAGTTGGCATCTTGTAACCTGTAGATTGTATGTGATCCTAAGTCATATTTTTGCAGCCCCCTCAGCCCTCAAACATGAGCTACCAAATTTTGGCAGCCAACAACTGTTATATAGTGGTTAAGATTGTAGACTTGGATAGAAGAGAACCAGGTTTGAGAATTGAAGCTTATTGGGTGATTTTGGGCTAGTCACTTTCTTTTGATTCAAACTACTCACAGGATAGCACTGTGACACTAGCATAAGGAAAGACCTTCATGTATGCTACCTTGAGCACACAGAGGAAATGAGTGTTAAAAATGTAATAAATAAAGAACAATTAATAAACAAGTAGTAAAAGAATCAGAGCTTGAACACCACTCTTTTACAGGTCCTTTTAGAATAAATGTATCATTCAATTAACTATCATGTAGACTTTTTCTGACCTACAGCATATTTTTCCAAATAGTGTGCTTGCAAAGACCACTAGCTATTTTTAAAACAGAGATTAAATCAAATACCTGTTGGAACAAATGGAAGTGGAAAATTAAGTATGCTGTTTGTTTCCTCTGTAGGTATGCAATTTTGTAGTTGTTATACCATAACACCTAAGGCAGAAAAAAGCACATTCCTTACTATCTTGAGGAAACTTAATGCTCTGTTTCTACCACTCCATAGGTAGCTATGAGCATTCATCACACTGTAGATAAATATAATATTTTGCCACTCCTTTTCACATTCTGTATATCTTTTCTGCTTTTCCTTCACTGCCTAGATTCCAGAACTCACAATCACTACTAATTCACCAGAAAAGAAGGAGCCTTCTAAAGATCATCTTGTAGATTTTACTGATTCCCCACAGGGACATGCTACCAAGGTCCACACTACATCTCATGAGGAGCTGAAATTGCCATGGGGTTTGGTGCTAGGTACTGAAACCCATCCCTTGGGACAGTGGGATGCGCCTGAATTCAGCAAGTGTGACCTCACCACAGAGGGCTCTTTCATGGAAGAATGCATGGAGGAACAGTTGAGAAGATACCAAGAGCTGCCCTATCGCTTGGAGGAAGATGCCATAGATCGAGAACTGGAACAGCTTTACCTGTCCCATTTGAGCCGGCTTCGAGCAGAGGAACTTGGAGGAAGAGGAGAGTGGTCTGAGGAGAACTCAGGCAACAACACCAGCCCTGTGCCATCTCTCATTGCATTGCGGCAGAGTGTCTTGACTGATCGTGACCTGATAGTCAACTGGACAGGCCCAGAGAGAGCACTCAACAGTTCCCTGGCAAAGGAGATCACACTGTACTATGCTAAGCAACGGGGCGATGACTCCAGAGATAGTGAGGAGGAGGGAGTTGTGGCAGGATATGCAACACAGGGACCACCTGAGTTGGTGGGACCAGGCCGTGATAGCCCACCAGTATTATTAGAAGGCTGCTTTCTAAATCATCTGGAAGAGGGAAATGTCCAACAGAGTCCAGTGAAGGACTCTGACTCCTTTGCCAGCTTGAGAGTGGTGGCACCCAACACCTTGAGGCCAGTCATTCCGGAGGCTATGGTGATGCCCCTTGTAGTTCCAGCCCGGACACTAGTGCCCCTACCAAAGCGGCCCACAGACCTGCCATCCAGCCCTCTTGATGCTCATGGACAAGGCAAGTGCCAGGGCTTCTTGATAGGGCATGGCAGCCTCTGGCTGGGTGAGGGCCTTCATGTCCACAAGCCCCCTGAAACCAGTCCCGTTTCTCATAATGAACTTGAAAAGATCTTGACACGCTCCCTGCGGTTCCTCAGCCTCTTTGTCTTCCTTCCCGTGGTTTTCAACAGCTGCATGCCTTTGGTGGCCGTTACACTTTACCTCCTTTTGGATTGGTTCTCATAATTGGTACGCCTCTCAGAAATGTCAAAAAGCCCATGAGAAGATCTGTAACTTGGCTGTATCCCTGTTTCACCTGATCAACTAAATTTTCAAGGTGGGAGGGGTGCAGTGTCAGATCTTTTAAGAGTTAATGGCACATCCACTCAAAATTTCCCAAGGTTCAGAACAATTTATTTTTATTAAATCATCTGGTATAAGAGATGAATTGCTTGGACAAAAAAAAAATGAGCTATATGTGAAAATTACCATGAATTAGATCTGAGATAGCATTTGCAAGGTCCCAGAGGGTGCAAAGGGCTCAAAGCCCCAATAGCACTCCCACTCTCCCTTTGCCTAGAATATTCAAGAACGCTAGAAGCAACAGTATTGTCCATCCTGACATTTGCAAATGAAGAGAGGCAACTAAGGGTGCCTTGTCTGAATGGCCTCAAATTCAAACCTGGAATAATAGTTTCCCTTTTCCGCCTTTAAAAACAAAATTCCTTGTTAGGATTTAGTAGACTTCATCTCTGTTTTTTCGGCCTTCTTCTTTCAGGTATTTGGCCTTCACAGGCTGAAATCCAGTTAGCATACTTATCTAGAAGTAAGTAAGTCATTAATTTATTTTCAGTTTGGGACTGAGGCAAGCATTTCCTAAAAGGACCATGTTCTTTGATATTTTTACAGACACACTCTTTTAGCAGGCTTTGACTGTAACTTGTTTTGTGACAAAGCAAAACATAAATATTAAGGGATAATTTCAGACTGTTTGAAAACCTTAAATATTCACATTTTTAGGGAAAAAAGTCAAAATGGCCCATGTAAAAATTCTTAAGATGGAATGTTTTATTTAAGTACTGTATGCCCATTCTCTATATAATATTAGTGCAAAGTTTGGTAACAAGATTCCTGGTTAGTCTGAGGAGCCTCTGGTTTTATGGTGTTAAAAAGTCCCAACCTGTTCTGTGTAAGAGATTTGGAGAAACCAACTAGCTAACTCAGTTTCTATCTTGCTTTTCTCATGGGCAAGTACAAATAATTACTATTAAATGAATTCTGCATTAACAACAACCAAAAATCCCATAGCGTTAAAAATGACCCCACTCTTAATGCTAATCTGCTATGAAAGTTCCTTTGGCTCTTTGGAAAAAAAATGCAGGCTTAGAGCTTAATAGACTGCTCAATGTCATAGCAGTCTATCAAAGTGAAAAAGACTTATTAATATATGACCCTAATCCCCATTTATTTTTACAAGGCTGGGAAATTGTAAATATGTTTTGAAAATTTCATGAAGCACTTTCTTTCAGAATGTTCTCCTGTGCCAGTCTCAGTGAATTTAACAAGAACAGTCCAAAGGCAAAATAGCACTTTTGTTCAGCACCTGATAATTTCAGTAGGATTTGTGCAAGTGAATATCCTGCTGGATCGTGCTCCACGTATCTGTAATTTCCCATTATATGAATGAAACAGGGAGACAAAAAGAAGTTTTCCATTCCAAAGAAGATGGCAACATTTTCAGTTTTCTATCCATACAGCTTCTGCAAAATACAATCACAACCATTCCAGATGGCCTCAACAATTGCACAGCCAACTTCCATTCATGCCCCTATCCTGAGCCACACCCAGCTTCTTAGGAAGAAACTTTGGACTGCTGACTGTCTGGGCTTCTAGGACCCCTTTTCACTCCTGGATCCTACACTTCTCTGCCACTAGCAGGGTCCAACACAAAGGACTACAGGAAAGCTCCCTAAAACAGATGGCCCCGTATTTATTTTTGTACCTGGTGGGAAGGCTGACTTTTTCTACCGTAGAATTCATCCCAAGATAGAGATTTTATTTATTAACAACTAGCAGTACAAACCCAGGCTGGTGGGTTTGCAGAAGATTAAAATAATTTATATACATGTTTGGTGTCTGCAGCAAAGCATTAGATTGGAAACATCCTGTCTTCACGTGCAATAGGTTGAAATGGCATTGAACTTGCTGTAAGAAGGCAGCCCACCCGCTTTCATGCTGCTAAACGTGTTTCATTAACTTCCTCTTGAATGTTGTACTGTCAGCAGCTGCTGTGATATAGCTTGTGAGGCCTTGTGGAGGAAGTGGAGATATTTATATGGGTTCTGAAGCCACTTCTGTCTGCTGATCCAGACTTGGCCCTGCTTTCCCCATCCATAAAGCTCTTATCTAAGGAACATAGGGAGGTTTGGAAGGTGGAATACTGTTTGTGCTTCATGAAGAGAGATCAGAGTGTCCTAACTTCAGTCATCATAAGAAAAATCTGTATTTTCCAGATAAAAGCTGAGATCAGAATGTAATTAGCAGTCACGGCTATGTGTGTCTGTGTGTGTGTGTGTGTGTGTGAGAGAGAGAGAGAGAGTATGCACACATACTTTTCTTAATTATCCCATGCTTAAATTTTTTGTTGTCCTACCACTGTTCCTTCTGCCTTACTCAAACTGTCAGATCCCTCATCAGACAAATATGTCTGACAATACATGTTCCACACCACAAAAGTCCTGAAAATTATTTGGTACCTCCACTTGGCAACAGAGCAAGCATTGATTATACTCCACACATCTGTAGAAACACTGGTCAAAGCCAAAGTCTTCATAAGTCAAGTGAACTGGCTGCCTCTGATGGCAGATTTTTGAATGACATTAAGGACTACACAGTGGGATATAAACATACATTATGGAGTACTATCCTTCAGAGAGTTCTTCTGCACAACTTGTACTGAAATGCATAAGAGCTACATAAAACATGCCTGTGCTTTTGCACAGCTCCTGGTCATATAAGTTAACATGTGCAGGAGAATTTATCTGAGGAATGTGCTTCATGTTAATTAATAAGAGGTTTCTGTGGATTTGGGGGTATTCAATTTCAAAGTATTTTGGATTAGCTCTGGTAAAACCAGGCTTGCTTTAGTGCTTTTACTTTATATTGTTTTTGTTAACTTTCAGCATCCAGCTGGCCATTTTAGAGTACAAGTTGTTTCAAGGTTCTCTACCAAAAACATCTGCACGTAGGAAGCTAGCATGTGTAGAAGAAAGTTATGTTAAATCTCTTCTTCCTTACATGCCAATTATGTGCACTTTATTTTTAAAAGAAGAGTGTTCAGTAATTTGAGCCCCCACCTTCAGTTCAGTGTTGTGTACTCTAAACATAGTTTATCAGTAAGAGCTAGGTTTCAGGTTGTTATCAAAAAAATCATCTCTATAACCACTGTTGTGTATCTGCATTAATGTATAAAACTTTGCTCCCACTGGATCCTGTATACTAACTCCTCACCAATATTATTATAGAAAAATCAGTGGTTTCTCTTCTCTGAACAGCAATAATCATATGTAATTCAGAGAAGGTAAGAAGTTTTGGATAATCTTTATAATGAATGTTAAAACTAAATAGATGTAAGGGTACACAAATATAATGTGTGTACCAGGTTAGCATGTGTAATAATTACAGCCACTCTTTGTAATATATGAACAAGTTATACATTTTTTCTGGGTTATGAAAAATATAAGCCAGAAACAACTAAGGAGCCAAGTTCAGTTTATTGAGAGATATAATTCCTTCCATTTGTGCACAGGGCCTCATTATGTTTCCAGTTTTATACTTGCAAAAATCCAGGTAATTTTCAGAACAATACTCTTATTAGTCTACTACAGCAAGAACAACAGTGAGTCCTATAGCATCCTGAAGACTTAAATTTAATATAGCATAGATTTTTGTGGGTAATAGTCCATGTTATCAGATGTACGGAATATAGAGAGGAATACTATATGTGCACAGCCGTTTGGAGGAGTAGGTTGATGGAGACGGTAGAAGGAAAGGTCAGAAACATTGAAAATTACCTCTAGATAGTGGCCAATAATACAAAAATTCTAAGTAATTTAACAAGAGATCAAGGTTTTTTATTACGCTGCATGTGTTAATCAGCTCATCAGTGTAAGAATACCTGTCACATTCAATAGTTTTGTTACTAGTCAAAGAGTTTTTATTTATTTACTTTATTTATTTATTTATTCATTTATTTATTTATTTGCAAAGTTAAACTAGCTGAAGATACTTATTCAAGGTAACCTATATTTCTTAGACTTTGGGATAATTTAGAATTGGTCAGATAGGTGGTTGCTACACCCCAACAGTCTGATCTATTAGGGATGAGAGGGTGATTTATATGGTCCTTTTCGTGGCTAGCTTTTTAGGCTGTGCTGACCTCTTCCTGTAGTATAGCAGCTGGTTATGTCCAGTAGTCTTATCTTGATGCAAATTGACTTATGCATGCAGAATGCATTGTGGAGAGCTTCACTTTGGCCACTGGTATTTGTGGCTTTGTCCATAAGATACTTCTTTTCTGTGAACAGACTGAATCCATGCAGTGGGGGGTGGGGTGGGGGGGAACAGCTGTGCAGGTCGAATTAGGATCAAGCTCTGGATTTATGAATGAGAAATCATGCTTGTTCAGCCCTTGAAACTTACCTTGCAGGAGAACACTAAAGAGGAGAATTAGCAGTGGTATATTACAACTACACATTTGTCAGTGATTTTAAAGCAACAACTCTGCATTCTTTCTTCAATTTTGCAATGACCCCATGGTGTGGAATTAGATTACAATCCCAGAAGCCTTATTTGCTTTGAGCAGCCTTTCCCCAAGATAGAGCCCTTCAGACGTCTTGGACTACATCTCCTAGATTGAGGCTGCCTTTGATCATGTTCCTCAGCCAGATCTTTTGCTGTGGAAAGAGATCTGTGCATGGCAGACTATAGGGAGCATGGTAGGGAGTCTGTTATGTACCTGCTACTGTAGAGCAAGGGATTGGATGGAACATGTGTGTGTGTGTGTGTTTATATGTGTATGTGTGTACATCCTTTTGAGCTGTGCCTGCTTCAGAAGCACTAATAAACATCCTGACTATAGCACTTGTGTCCTTGGGAATTTTTTGGAAACTGCAACAAATGGTATGGGTAACTGCTAGCTGCAGCCAGCTGTCCTCCTGTGACTATTTGCAAGCCTCGTCCCAAGTAGTTGCCTCCATATTCCCCTCTTCCTTCCCTTGATTCAGTAAATGACCCAAGGAAATGAATTCAAGAGGCTGTTCTTCTCCAATAGATGATTTGCACTGAAATCTAAATTATTTTAACTGTCATTACTTTACCAGCAAAAAGGTTCCTGAAAGTTGGTATTCTGCAGTACTTTTCTCTTGAGGACTACCTCTGCCCCAAGCTTCTTCACAAGACCTCTGGTAGGAGGAAATATCTAGCCAAGCAATTTTGACAGTCTGCCTCAAGCAAGGGCAGGGAACTTGGGGCCTTCTAGACGTTGCTGAATTTGGTTAACATGGCCAGTAATAAGGGATGCTGGGATTCAGTGACACTTGGAACTCATGAATTTCATGAGAAAATAAAGTAATTGGTAATATAGTACAATTCAATATGCCTGAAAATACCTGGTTGCTGATTTAAACTGTGTCTCTTGCAAAAAGCATTGAAGTTGGCTAAGAAAGAAGAGCTTTAGTAAGGTCTGAGAACTTGACAGTCTGTTCAGTAAAGGTGTCTGTCACAAGATATGGACATTAATACCCAAGGTTCAACATTTGAGTGTGAGAAGTCAACTCAAAATAGCAAAAGAACAAGAATGAAAAGCATGTGTAGAATGCTTTTCTTACACTGTGTTTGGAGAAATTAGGCTTTGTGTGTTGACATCTCTCTTCACTCTCTTTGGGATGCCCCATCTATGCAAGTAGAAACAAAACATCAGAGCAAGTAAATTTATTCTTAATGTGTTTAAATAAATCACCAATGAAGGCTGGGAATTTTCCTGCTAGTACAGGAAGCATAAGACTATTCTAGGGCTGCAAAATATTCAGGTTAATAAGTGTGCAAGACATTGAATTTATTTTGCAGAGGACCACTGTTCTGGTTAGTTTGCAATCAACATCTTTTATTTTACAAAAGGACATTAGCTGCATGCATCCACTTAGGTCAGACCTTGCTCATGACTGATCTACCTGTTTCTCCTTTCGTACCTTGCCTAGCTGAAGGGGAGACAGAAGTAGTGCCTTGAAGAAATAATGAATTGGATGATAGCCAATCCAGATGAGACAAAGTAATAGTAGTCAGAGCTTAAACAAAAAGGCCTATCTAATATTGTTTTTCACAGTGGATGAGGAGATATTTTTGGAAAGCCCATAAGACAGACACATTTCCAGCAAGTAATATTCTATAACAGGGTTCCTCAACCTCAGCAACTTTAAGTTGGGTGGGGAATTCTGGGAGTTGAAGTCCACCCATCTTAAAGTTGCTGAGGTTGAGGAACCCTGTTCTATAATACACTACTTCTGAACTTGGAAATAGCAGACAGCCCATATAGTTAGCAGCTACTGATAGCCTTATCCTTAATGAATTTGTCTAATCTTTTAAAGTCATGTAAACCAGTGACTGTCATTCAGTTGCATTGCATTTGGGGCGTGGCATTCTGGGAAACCTGGAACTGCTGCCTGAAGCCAAAGAGACTTGAGCAGTCTATCGAGAAGAGAGCCACTGTCACTAGCTGAAGGGCATGGTGGGGAGAGAGCAGGATCAGTACAGAGAACTGGCCAGAAGAATACTGTTGGGTCCTAGTGGCCCATATTAAGGTGTATAATCTAAAGAATCAGCCTCAAAATGCTGACTGCTGAGGCTAGCACTGTTAAGCTACCTGGAGAATGGGACAGTACCATTCAATATTCTCATGGGTGGAATGGCATTTCCCCAAAAGGAACAGGGTCACAGCTTGGAAATGTTTCTGTGTCCAGCTTTGCTACTGGAAACAAAAGAGTGAAAATGATGTACTAGCTATAATTTAGCCTGAACAAAGATAGCTGTCCATGCACTGATAAATCCACTTGATTACAGCATATGAACTGGAATGAGACCAAAGTATGGATGCTAGACTTTGGGTTGGGACCAGCTGGTGGTATGATGCACAAATATCTTCCCTGGTTATCAGTGCATTATTGAGCATGACTCAGAGTGTTGATGTGTACATCCGCCTCAGTCTCTGCAGCAGAATGCTCATTGGAACCCTCCTCCAGATCACCTGGACTTCCCAATTCTAGAGACTTCGTTGACACACTATTTCACTCCATTTGGTGCTGGCCAGACCCCATCTGGCATACTGTGCCTAGCTGGGGCACCATACCTCAAGAAGGTTTGGAACACTTCAGAGAATGTGGAACAAAGGTCGTCATAAGATTGGAAACTAAATCCAAAGGGAAAGGGAATTGCACAGGCTTAGCCCTGGAAAGAAAAAATGAAAAATTACTATCCAGAAAGCGACAATCTGTTCTCTGACTTCCCAGATCGGAGCCCATGGAATAATGGCATAAATTATGAGAAGGTAGATTTGGATTGATACAAAAAAATGTAATAATAAAAGATGTTTGACAGTAGACCCCATTTATTTTCTAGGAAGGTGGTGGATTCCCCCTTGCAGCCACTTGTCAAGAATTATTTAATATGGATTTCTGCACCAAACAGAGGATGGAACTAAATGGTCTTAAATAAAATTTAATAAAGCTGACAGTTTTATCAGTAATGTTGCAGCATTGGACTTTTTGTCTTACATATTGTTGGCTTCCCTAAGAATATTTTTACAGTGAATGGTATATATATTTATAAAATAACAGGGAGAAAAGAGAGCTTTGGATGAGCAGCATTTACAACAAGGCTTTTTTAGGTGGGGCTGAAGCCCTCCTGCTCATCCCTCCCTCCCTTATCAAAATGGCTTTCTAATCGTTGACCACAGCCTTACAGACACTCCATGGAAAGATTCATGAAAGTTTTAAAATGTGCTTTGTGGTACGTGTCCTTTGTGGCCCCAATGTAATGCAACAGTCTGTGTTGTTGTGCACTTGTGAGCATGAGACAGGGAGGGGCTGTTTAAGATTTAATTTGCAGAAGTTTCCCTTCCTATGGTTGACTTGGCAACCAAGTGTTTGAAATTGCATTGGAAAGAAGGATGGTGGGATATAGTATTAAAAAAGCGGGGGGGGGGGTAGCGAAGAAGGGAATTGAACTAAACAAGGTGCATGTCTTTTACATCTCTATGTGTTTCCTTCTTGACTCTATAAAACTAAGGAATGTTGACCCGTCCGACCCTCAGACCTACTTCAGACCTTTTGCTGGAAGTCTGGAAATAGAGCCCGGTAATCTCGCCTTGAGTCCTCTCCTTGCTGGTGAATGACCTACGAAGCTGACTTTCTGGACCTGAGGCTGGCTACTGTCAAGAATTTCCCAGAGTCCCCCAACCCCCGGAGGCACTTGGTGCCTTCCACCAGCTGGTCCTGGTCTTGCAAGTGAAAAAGGGTGCTCCCTCCTGGCCAAATCCCTCCCTCCCCAGCTGGGGCCGAAGCTGTCCGGAAATTCCCGAGGCTTCCCTCTCTCGCACCTTCTCACACTCTCACTCACACACGTACAGGCGCGCGCGCGCGCGCGCG